GCAAAAGAACACAAGGGGCGTCTATTCCGCCATATTGAATTACCAAGAGAAGACAAGAGGAAAATCGTCCCCAATCAAGCACCAATCTGACCCATCGTTGACCCAAACCGATAACACCTGGATTCTACAAGTAGATAGAGGGACAATTAACCGTGTTTGATTGTGATTTTTTCAGACGATCCCCGATTACATAGTAATTAACTTGTTGAGGCGGCTCTTCCGTTCATTCCGGAAGTTGTAATATGGGGACGAAGGACGACGAATATGACTACTTATTTAAAGGTATATTCACAATATAGGTAAAATATAGGTACTTAGGTAAGTAGCGTCAGGTGTGTGTTTTATATTTTCACACATTGTACTAAGTTTTGCACGGGATTTTTACGGGGCAGCTTTATTAAAAAAATTGGGGGGAGGATTTGGTCCGTCAAAAAGTTGTCAAACTAATGAAACGTCAATATTCATCGTCTCTTTCATGACCTCAGTGTGTGATACTTTAAATCGTTGCCATATTTTTGTCAATTGCATTAGTTGTATCAGTTTCAGAAGTACAATCTGCTTTCAGCTGATCTGTTTGTTTACTTTTAATTATTAGCTGTTTATTATCAATAATTGACACGACAATTATGGGGGGGTGAAGATAGCCCGCTTGTCAAACTTGCAGTTTCTGAGTGTGTGTGTGTGCAGGTTAAATTATGTATACATTGGATCAGTCACATGATTGGAATAATTGCATGTTGGTTATTTATAGATCTAAGTTTCTAGCAGTGCAATTAGTTAAGTCAATTAATAATCAGCAATGGGGTGTAGGGTGGTTTCGCGCCGATTACGTGTTCGCGCCGAGTGGTATCGTGCCGAGTGGTTTCGCCCCATTTATCTACAGGTAAAATACATGTATAGGTGGTATACAGAATGGCTTCCCCCTGATTACCTGTCGGGTAGCTTATAATTAATTAACCCCAAGCGTTAATGTCGTGTTATGTGGGATAATTATCCCATTAAGTGAGGCCATTTTTAGCCAAATTATGACTATTTGAACAGATTTGATCGTCTAATTTGGAATAATTTAGGACTGGATATTAAAATATATATCTTTATTTCACAAATCGCGTTGATTTTTCAATGAAAGCTGTCATTGTTTTTCAGTTGATTTACTATATTTTAAAAATTTATTTACAATATTTAAATTATGTAGAACAAGGAAACTTCAAAGGCAATCAATCTTTGCATAGAGACACATCAGTAATTAGAAAATAGAATGATAATCTTCATTATAAGCACTCATACAGATAGAAATCTTTAAAACTTTAAAGCTAATATATATTGTACAAGAGGGGCGAATCCACTCGGCGCGAACAAGTGATCGGCGCGAAACCACTCGGCGCGAACACGTAATCGGAGCGAAACCACCCGCATTCAGCAATGGCAACTGTCAAATCGAAGCTAATGTAAGTTTCACTTTGTATACATGTGTAAAGAGATGAGAAATTGTCCTTTATAAATAACTTCTGGCATAACCACGATTACTAAAACACGAGGAAGAAGAAGTGTTATGTTTACCTTTAGCAATTTGATATCAGTTTATATTTAATTTTATTGTATGATAATAAAAACTGATTTTTGTCTACACGTTTTGATCTACTTCCTGTAGCTTGATATTACTGTTGTGAAGCAGTGGAATTTAAACACAGTGTAGATATGTGTTCCCAGTGCAGCCATCTTTATATGATACTGTCCATTTATGCTGAACACTACTCGTAAAAAGGCATAGTCTGTCAAATTTTATGCATTTTCCAAAACAGGACAAAAGTATCATGAAAAATACAGGTCAATATATTATTCACAAACATAAAGTGCACATAAAAACAAGGAATAAACACAGAAATCTAAGACCACGAAAGGAATACTACGTCGGTCACGAGTTTCGAGTGTGCAATCGGGTGTAATGAAACTGAAGGGTTTATTTAAAGCTGACATGAATTCTTAAAAACGCAACATTTTCATCTATGTACGACTTGTTTCATACCAACTATAGCCGTATTCCGCCATATTTCTTTCAGATACCTTGTCTCATTGTAATGACATATACCCCAAAGCGCTCGTTACAGTTGAATGATTTTTTGGTTTGGGTATCGACTTGTGCACATCTCCGATGGTAAAGCATATGAGAACACATGAGGAGATCAAGACATTTCAAAACCACAATAAACAACATAATAATCATATTTCTGAATAATTATTGATTTGAATCAAAAGAAAAAAATGCAAGTTTGGTGAGAAATTTAGATGCACGTCACGCGTACGTATTTTTACAGTGCGAAAAATTATGCAGAATAAACTTGAAATAAAAAGCAGTAAAATCTGCAAACACATTTTGAAATTATATCATTTGAATGGAACAAAACAACCAACGTCTTTGATTTGCAGCCCCTATGCAATTGGTGCATATCGAGAAAACGCCTCGAACGCTGTAAACGTACCCATACCTGGTAATAAGGTTACTGCATCGGTTCGAAGATGTGCACAAGTCAAGTGATATACACCCTGAATTCCATTTATTGAAAAATGCATCACAAAAAAGAAATAAACTCCGTAAAAGCTCAAAAATAAACACAATGTCATTACTCCCTACAGACTAGCAGGCCGATACACTTAGTCCGTGCTGATCAGATTTTGGTCAGGGAAAATATCACAAGTGGAAAGAGAAGTTATTTGGTATTTGCGCGGCTGAAAGGGGGGGGGGGGGTTATTATAACTGCTGTTCATAAATGTCTATCTACATGTCGTTCTAATATACATTCTATACAAAGTCATGTATATAGTCAGCAGTTGGTTTGCGTCGCAAAATTCATTTGTCAATTATAACTGATTATTTTAGTGCTAATCTCAAATCTAAACCAAGTAATTTGATGTACGGTAATTATTTACTTCAAATCTTAAAAGCAATTAACCAGAATACAATTTTTTATGTGTACATAGATCTATACGTTCTTTAACACATAAACACACGAAGAAATGCCATCCCCTGTTTAGACTGACATCTACAGTGTAGGCATTTGATTTTTAGACGGGGGGGGGGGGGGGGGGCGTGCAAAAATAATTGACATGACCGTTATCTAAATATTCTTGGAAGACAGACATCTCTGCCGAATTGAATTTTGAAATTTTTTTTAAATGTGTCACTCCGACCACAAAGTATGTGCATTTTGAGGAATGTAAAAATGTTTTATAATTATGTTGTTATAGAGAGTCTATCGAGATTTCAGTATCCCTGCCTGATAGTCTCGCTATTTTTTTTTTATAAAAATAATTTCTGTATGAGTATTTAGAAAATAATTTTTTAAAGCTAGGGTAGGGATACTTGACACTGGTTGAATACGAATAATATTTATTTACTCCTTTGTATATTGAACTAACTCTCTCTCTCTCTCTCTCTCACTCTGTAACCATGCATCCCTTAGGGCAATAATAGGTATAAGATCATACGCACCTTTTGCTGTACCATTTATTAAGCCTTAGGACAGATCAAGGATTTTTTTCAGGCGGGATGTCGAAACTTCATAAATTGAATAATAATTTAAATTTGGACAAGAAGTTAACCCAAACGGCCAAATTGAAAGAGAAACTAGAGGTATTGTGAGCAATGAGCTCACTAAATGATACCCCCGCCTCCCATATGGTTATAATGGCAAAGTCCATATTTTGCTGTTGTCGCTAAACCCAAAATACGTGTCGGATCAAAAAGTAAAATAGGAGGTGAACATTGGTAATATGTAATAAACCTAAGATTCTGTGAAAGTTTTAGTAAATTTCACTAAGTGGTATAAGAGGATTTGCGGATAAGAGATGTGTATCCCAAAGCGTAACAGACCGACAGACGGACATAACTATTACTATATACCCTCCCACGTTTCAAGCGGGGGATATAATAAACGTGAAATATACATCACAGGAATGGGTACATTGGGAACTTTCTCAAATACCTTCTCAAACGCATTGGCGTCGGAAGCAAATTGAAAGTGGGGGGGGGGGGGGCTAAGTGCAAAGAATTTTTTTATACATTCAAAAAATCTGAGAAGCTTAAAAAAAGGGGAAATGTCCTTTTCCAAAACACGAATATCATATCTCGTGTGGGGGAAAGGGGGGAAGGTAGGTTCGAACTTCAATAACAAAATTTTTCTCCAAACACCAACACTTTCCTCTTTTTTAACCTATACTGCGACTTGTCTGTGGAAATTGGGGGAGGGGGAGGCTAAACTTACGCAGCAATGTTCAATGTCTATACTAAGTATATATTTGTAAAAAAAAAAAAAAAAACCATCCCCCGGTTCCGACACCTATGCTCGAACGTACGAGTCGAACCTGAACTTGGACAACAGACAAGAGAATTTTTAAAAAGCTAATTTTAGGTAGAATGTGAAATTCTCACGGGGGGGGGGGGGGTGCTCTCTCTTTCTATCTGCTTTTTCTAGTAATCATTAATTATTTATGTCTAGAAATTTAATTCACATGAAATTCTGGTCAGCGCAACTTCTTATAAACCACTGAACAGAGTTTTGTCAAACTTTCGAGATATTTATAGGAGTCAATGTATGTTTAGATTTGCACATCACCAGAAAATTCCGAATTCTATATTTTTTCGGGAATTTCCGCACTTTTACATTTAGATTTTGGCCATATCTTGAATATAAAGATGAGCAGTTTGTCAGCGCAATTCCTCATAAACCGCTGCACACAATTTCGTCAAACTTTGCAGATATTAGGACACAATGTGCATAGATGTGCATATAACAAGAAAATTACGATTCCTTTATTTTTTTCTGGAATTTCAGCACTTCGACTTTTGGGGGAGCGTGGGGTATGTTTTCATTGCATAAAATTATAAATAACTTTAAATCAAATTATATTAGGTCTAATAAAGCCAATACACTGTGCAGTATTTACTTGATAATAATTAATCATAAAGAAATCAATCTGTTTCAGACGTTTTCTTAAATTATTTTTGTGAGAGTGTTAATATGCATGTTTTATTACACCCCCCCCTCCTATCACAGGAAAATATCTTCAAAAGGTGAATGATTCGTAATAATGCATGCTTTATTATAAATTTAATGAAGTTAAACCATGTAATCATAAATTCTATTTGCAACATTTACAGACAAGAGTAATGTTTAGTTTTGAAAAAATCACTTGCATTTTTTTCAATCAACCCCACTGAGCTTTCAACCTTTGATATTTTCCCTGAGCAAATAAAATGATCGGCATGGGCCACGTGTGTCCGAGCATCTTTTACTGTTGAGTTAGCAATGGATTTCTGAGATGCATTTTTCAATAAAAGTAAAATAGGATAATTCTTTCGACATGTGCACATCCCTGTAACGATAGCAGTATATTCAGGTAAATGTTTTATCACTGCGTTTGACGCGTTTTCTCGACCTGCATGGATTTTTGCTGTACATGAATGTATTCCGTGTTAGTGTATTTTCTATATTGCAGCAAATGCATTCAAAAATAATTTAATTCTTGGTATAGTTCTATTGTTTGGTTGAATTCTTACTTTTCAAACATGTATTTGGTCAGTTTATTCAGTTTATGGACTTGTAAAAACTATGCTATCGGAGATGTGTACATGTCGACAGCCAGGCTAGAAAATCACTCAAGTGAAACAATTCTACAAGGCTATATATAGCAGGTACAGGTGGCCAAAAATCTTCGATTAAATATGGCGGAATTGAAGAAATATGGCGGACAAGGGCGTACAGGAATGTAGTAAGTCGTACAAAGATGAAAACTGATGCCTTTTTAAGAGTTCATGTCAGCTTTAAGGAATGGTTTTTAAGTTTTGTGTGAGTTATTGGTGTGTGAATCACACAGACTTGTCACGTAAGCATATTTCATGAAGTGCCAACGCGCTTCATGAAAAATATGCCTACGTGCAAGTCTGTGTGATTCTCACAGCAATAATTCACAGTAAACTTAAAAACATTCCTTATATTTACATTTTACAAGTTTGGAAGCAACTTAAATATACTTATTATTTGAATTTCTCGCTGCCCTATATCGTTGCATTTTTACCAACGTTGCTGCAGTGTCATTGTAACATCACGTTAACGCATGTTTCTCCATGTATATTTCTACGCGTGAGTATACACAAAAATGGTATTCAAATCAATTTCAATGTTGGCTTAGTAGAAAAACACAGCTAATGTAAATATATACCCGTATGACAGTGCCTATTTTATTTTATGAGAAGTGTTCAGCTTTAAGAATTGGGAATTAGTTCCCCGAGCAGTCCAAATTACATTCACTAAACATTCCTTATAGCAAGCACGCTCAGAATGAATTGACACTTGTAGCCAATATATTTACATTTATGTTACCAAGGTAACAAAGGATATAGTTAGAATAATAAATGTGATGCCGACAAGGGAGATAATTCTAAATAATGTGAAACTGTTCTACTTTGTTGATTGTAGGTTATTTTACCTCCCATTTTGTGTTGATTGTATGATGTTTTATGTCCCATTCAAAAAATTCTCACCAGCATATACCATGTATACCGGTGAAGGCCGGAAAACTTAGACCTTTATTCGACACTGGGGGGCCATTAAGCAATATTTACATTACACGTGATTTTTTGCAGATAAAGTGAATGGAAATCTATTGCAATCAAAACGCCATAACACAGACAGGGTGCCAAGAGGTTAAACCATGTGTTTTAGTTTGATGTCGTATGAATCGTTGAACGCTGAGGAAGTGCAGCGTCATAAACGAAAACAAAAAATCGCGATCAAATTGACCAGAAGCTGTTATGTTGACTGATCCATTAACTGTAGCTTACATGAAGGATAATACATAGGTTTTTAAATAGAAAACACAGGAAGATAAAGTTAAAAAATGTAAATATAAGCACTAATGCACGTTACACAATTTATTTGCACACACCGTTGCAGTTATATGAGACTCTTTCAAAAAATGATTATTCATTGCTTAAGTGAGGAAATCTTTATTGTCTTACATCTACTTTGACAGGAGTTAAGTTATTACAGTCACATCTGAAAGACCTGCAACTTCACTTCAATTTGCTGGTCCCACAGTGTGTGGGGACAACCCTGATAAGTTTAACTTAAGTAAGTAGATGAGCATTTCATGTAAGCATGTCAACTACTTACTTAAACTTGTCAGGGTTGTCACAGAGGAAGTGAGAGTTAGAGTAACATCATAAGGGGGGGGGGATTCCCTAGTCCCACGGTGTTGGGGATAGCCATGTTAGTTTAATTAACAACACCTTTAACTAGATGAGGATGGCTTGTCGTCGGAGGTTAGATACACAGGAAGCAGAGTAACACATGGTACATCCTGCTCTCTGTTTGTTATGTGTATCTACTGTGGTTTAATTAAGGATGGAGGAACATCTCAATGCATCACACTCATAAATTGTCCTCACTCAGTGTGTACAGTTTGTTTATGACTGATCATAAGGGATTAGAGAAGATTGCCCCCCCCCCCCCCTTCTTCCCCCCTTCTTCCCCCCTTCTTCCCACCCACTTCCCCTTCTCTTAACACATGCGTGCATATTGTCACTGAAAATAGTACACAAGGAAAAACATAATTTTTAAGCAGTTTTCTTAGGAAGTGTGAACATGTGTGCACCTGGAAAAAAAATCACCTGAATACTGATCTATTTATAGAGCATCAGCTGATGTGACTCATTAAGCTTGTGTTACAGTGTAGTCTGTTATAATTATAAATTGTATAATTGTCAATTAGCAAATGCTTTGTGGAGGGAAGTAATTAAATTTGATTTTAAAAAAAATGCTGCAGAGATTGCCTCATCACACAGAGGAATGGTAGTAATTTCTCTGCTTAGGCCTAAAAAAAATATGTTTGTTTCCTGTAACCCGACCGAACCACTCAAATTACCCCCGGGTGGATTTTTTTTTCTGACAAGTGGCAAAACTTCGTTTGATCAATCAGCTGATTCCATGTATCAAAAAAAAAAAAATAGCTTGTAGCTTAACTTGAGACATAAAATATGTCAACCTAGTTTACATTTACCTTAGTTATAAAGAATAATCATTATTGTAACAACAATTTCCCCCTTCAACTTTCTGAAGTTCTTTTTCTGCCACTAGGCAGCCATTTTGGATGCCATGTTGGGTGTCCACTGTAAATATGACACCTGGTATATTCAGTCCAGGGATGTGAATTTCCCACCTACTGACCCTTAATTTTTTGGGGATGTTACAGGAAACAAACATTTTTTTTTTTTAAGCCTTATGGTTGTACTTGCACATAGAGTAAAATTCATCTCTCTTAAAATTTTGATGCATTAATTATCTCGATTTTTTTAATTTTTATACATTGAATTGAAAGGTTGCAGTTTGACAACCTAATAACACCTAATGAATCACGGACTGACATTGAATATAAAGTTCTGTGACACCATGCAGTTTTGATTAGTAGATGATTCCTTTTATTTGAGTTACAGTTGTACTGAATTTTGCTGAATGACAGATTAATAAGTTTATTTCTAACATGTGTGCTGATTGGTTGATAATTCCTTTCAATTTCTGTTACAGTTGTTCTGATTGGTTGATAATTTCTGTTACAGTTGTTCTGATTGGTTGATAATTTCTGTTACAGTTGTTCTGATTGGTGACAGTGGTGTGGGTAAAAGTAATCTCCTATCCAGATTTACCAGGAATGAATTCAACTTGGAAAGTAAAAGTACAATCGGAGTCGAGTTTGCTACCAGGTACGTATAAAGCGTTGTCTTGTAGAGTTTGCTCTCAGGTTTGTATAAAACGTTGTGTAGCGTTTGCTACCAGGTATGTGTGAAACATAGTTGTGTAGCATTTGCTATCATGTGCATATAAAACATAGTTGTGTAGTGTTTGCTAACAGGTACATATGAAACATAGTTTTGTAGCAATTGCTACCAGGTATATATAAAACAGTTATGTAGCATTTGCTAACAGGTACAGCAAAACTCTGAAATAAGGAAGTCACTGGGACCTATGAAATTACTTCGTTATATCCGTAATTCGTTATAACAGTACAAAAAATTCATTAAACTTATATAGCTGGGGATCCAAGATGATTTCATTATATCCATGAATTTGCAATATCCATATTTGTACTAAACGAGTTATGCTGTACATATATCTTTAACATGGTTGTATAGCGTCTCCTCCATGATTCTGTTCGTCTTTTGTGGTTTTGTGAATCCACATCACCACTCTCTGAAACTGATGACTTAGTACGCAAAAACATGATGTTATTTTTCTTGCACGTTAAAAAGTCCCTTGTTATTATGACTTTTTTTGTAGATAAATGTTATACAATTGATCTCTAAAGTTTTCTTTTGCTATATTTTACTAATTATGAGGACATATATATAATAAATTTATCATTATAACAGTAACTTAATCCAAAGAGCAGCATCACATCTCGTTTGACAGGCACGGATCATCAGATCAAACTTGACACTTCGCGTCTCGTTCTTGTTAGATCTGATGATCTGCGCCTGTAAACTCGACGTGATATGATCCTTTGGATCAAGTTACTGTTATAATAATATAAATTTATCTGTTTACATTGTATATTGTACAGGTGTATGTACATGTTTTTACTGTATTTATACAGGAGTATACAGGTGGACGGCAAGACAATCAAGGCACAGATCTGGGATACAGCCGGCCAGGAACGGTACCGGGCCATCACTAGTGCGTAAGTATCACTTATAGTAGTTTACTAAGTCAGAAACGGTACAGGGCCATCACTAGCGCGTAAGTATCACTTAAAGTAGTGTACTAAGTCAGGAACGGTACAGGGCCATCACTAGTGCGTAAGTATCACGTATAGGGGTGTACTAAGTCAGGAATGGTACAGGGCCATCACTAGCGCGTAAGTATCACATATAGTGGTGTACTAAGTCAGGAATGGTACAGGGCCATCACTAGCGCATAAGTATCACGTGTAGTAGTGTACTAAGTCAGGAACAGTACTGGGCCATCACTAGCGCGTAAGTATCACTTATAGTAGTGTACTAAGTCAGGAATGATACAGGGCCATCACTAGCGCGTAAGTATCATTTATAGTAGTGTACTAAGTCAGGAACGGTACAGGGCCATCACTAGCGCGCAAGTATCACGTATAGTGGTGTACTAAGTCAGGAATGGTACAGGGCCATCACTAGCGCGTAAGTATCACGTATAGTAGTGTACTAAGTCAGGAACAGTACTGGGCCATCACTAGCGCATAAGTATCACTTAGGCTATATAAAATTAAAATTCTGGTTCTCAGGCCCGCGCGCATCCGTTTTGAGGTAGCCGCATTGCTAATTTTATTGTGTTTATGATAAAATAAAAAGTTGGTTTTGCGGAGACCAATCCAGGAAAAAAATTTCGACCTCATTTGTTTTGTTGTTTAGTATTCAAATACCACTTCCGGTAGCCATTTGCAATGATATTTTGGCTACTTCATTTGAAAATACATTCGAAGACATTACCTATGATGTTTACACGCTGATAAGCAATGGATAAAGCAGAAATTTTGACCAGAAATTGAAAGTATTTATGTGATTAAAAAAATTATCTTTATGTTAAAGAAAATTCTAAAATTAAAATTAAAAAAACACCTCCCTCATCTACTTTATTGCCAATAAAATGATAAATAAAATGCCGCCCTCCCACATCTGTTTTGGAGAAAATTGGCCTGAGAACCAGAGAATTAAATTTAGATAGCCTTATAGTAGTGTTCTAATCCATGAACGGTACCAAGCCATCACTCATTGTAAATGCAATCTTTAGTTTTTCAATATGATTAAATGCTTATAAGAAATTAAATTAATTTCTTGCAGCATGATGAAAAATAATGAAAACAATTGCGATTGATTCACTTTGAACATTGCTAGAAATCAAAAGTTTTTGTAAGGTTAATATAGTTCTGTTCCTTAACATCAACCCTTAGCCTGTAACAATCGATCTTTAACCCTTTATCTTAAATAAAGGGAAACACTGGTATGTTGTAAACTTAAATACTCCCGATTTATAAAGTTCCTTTCTTTTATTACAGGTACTACAGAGGGGCGGTAGGAGCCCTCCTTGTGTACGACATCGCTAAACACTTAACATACGAAAACGTGGAACGCTGGCTTAAAGAGCTCCGCGACCACGCGGACAATAACATAGTTATCATGTTAGTGGGGAATAAGAGCGATTTACGACATCTACGAGCCGTGCCCACAGACGAGGCCAAGGCTTTCGCAGGTTTGTTTTCAGTAATGACAATAACATAGGTATATATAATGTTAGAGGAATTTGAACGATTTACTTTTGCAGGTTTGTTCTTTACTTCATGACGTTAAACCTGTACATGACTCGCTAAGAGGCATAACCATTTTAGATATTATATTATCTCCAATATCAGCAACAGGGTATAATCTTCCCATTTATTATGCCCCCAAAGAAGGGAGGGCATATTGCTATGCTGCTGTTCATCGATCTGTCTGTCGGTCCACCATCTGCACATATTAAATGAAATTTGATATACAGATTAATCATAAGAATATCTAGATTAAGTTGTGTTTTGGGTTGGGCGGGGCCACAAGGGGAAATCAAAGTTTTACATAGAAATATATAGGAAAAATCTTTATAAATCTTTTTAAAGAACCACTGTCGCCAGTCGTGAAACTGATGTGGAAGTCGTGGGTTAAACATTTGAGCATTTTTAATCATGACTTCCCCTGAAACCACACAACCAATTTCAAGAAATATATAGGAAAAATCTTTGAAAATCTTATGTCAAGTGAAAAGCTGAAACTCAAAAGCATTGTGGGGTAATTTCTAAATTGTTCAAATCATGACCCCCTGGGGGTTGGCAGGGCCACAATGGAGAATCAAAGTTTTACATCTAAAATATATATGAAAAATCTTTGAAAATCTTCTTCTTTACTCACTGGGCATCAATAAGGCTGAAACTGATGTGGAAGCACCCTTGGGGTAGTGTAGTCATTACCAAAATTGTTCAAATTCATGGCCCCGGGGTCTGGGCGTGGCCACAATGGGGCATATGTTTTATAGATATGTGAAAAAATTATTTCTTTGAAAATCTTCTTCTCTGCTCACTGGGTATTAAATAAACTCATGTGGAAGCATTGTGGGGTATGTGTAGAATGCCTCTTTAAATTGTTGAAATCATGACCCCCAGGGTAGGGCGGGGCCACAATGGGGAATCAAAGTTTTACATAGAAATATATAGTGAAAAAATCTTTGAAAATCTTCTTTTCAAGAACCACTGGGTATTAAATAAAGCTGAAACTCTTGTGGAAGCATTGTGGGGTTGTAATTCTAAATTGTTCAAATCATGGCCCCAGGGGTGGGTGGGGTTTTGGTGAAGGCAAAGTTTTACATAGAAATATATAGGAAAAATATTTGAAAATCTTCTTCTCAAGAACCACTGGGCCAGAAAAGCTGAAACTCATGTGGAAGCATTGTGGGGTAGTGTAGATTCTAAATTGTTCAAATCATAACCCTTAGGGGTTTGGTGCTGGGCCACAATGGTATCAAAGTTTTACAGTGAAAATATATATTAAAATCTTTCAAAAATGTTTCCTCAAGAACCACTGGGTATTAAATAAAGCTGAAACTCATGTGGAAGCACCCTGGGGTAGTGTAGATTCTAAATTATTCAAATCATGACCCCCGGGCGTAGGGCGGGGCCACAATATATTGTATTACAAGGGGGAAATCTGGTAAAGAACAATATGACAAAAGATTCTCAGGTGAGCGATGTGGTCCATGGGCCTCTTGTTTACAGAGTTATGCTCCTTGGACTTTGAAAAATTCCATTTATTTGGGGGAGGGGGCATAAGTGCTATACAAACATCTTTTGTTACACCTGACAGACTGCTATATTGTCACAGGTATCGGTGTGAAAGGGCCCTTAGATATAGCTAGAGACCAGTCAAATATGGGGAAAAAACTCTACAAATCGTGTTCAGCTTTAATGGGGAGAAAGAATTACCATATATAATAAGTGGAAGTCTTAGTGAGACAGAAATTTAGTATTTTGTCATTAAAAATCCTTGCTAAAATTCTACTGATGCAGTATCTTACGAAATCAAGACACTATAACTTGCTATACTTTTAACTATTCTGTCTTTATGACTCAAATATAGGCATAACTTATCAAAGTTAGTACATTTCTTCTCTATATGTTCTTTTTTATTTAAAAAATGACTAGGCTTCCTAAGGTAGAAAAAATATATGTTCTGGATGTGCAGGATGTATTTGTTTACGGTTTGTAGCAGAATATATTTATTTACGATCTGTTTTGTTGTTTATTTTCAGAAAAAAATAACCTGTCTTTCATTGAAACATCGGCTTTGGATTCCACCAATGTAGAAACAGCATTTCAGAATATTTTAACAGGTAACTCTCCATAATGTAGACCCATTTTCTCTTATATACTGAAAGGAAAAAGAAACGCAGGGTAGCATAATTAGGGCCCCGCAAGGATTTGCGGGTGCCCTATAGTAATCACTCTGTCTGTCCGTCCGTCTGTCTGTCTGTCTGTCCGTCTGTCACTCTTCCGTCCACAAATTTTCTGTTTTTTTCTAATAACTTTTTTTATGGTTGCCCAATCAAGTTCAAATTTGGTAAGGTAGTTTAATAGGCAGAAATACATATTTTGATGCTAAGTTTGATTCTCTATATCTTCTAGTTTGGAGCTGGGGTGGTGGGGTAGATTCCTTAACTATTAGAATTTTGGCAACTTTTTTTATGGTTGCCCAAAAATCAAATTTGGTACGGTAGTTCAGTAGGCAAAAATACATATTTTGATGCTAAGTTTGGTTCTCTATGTCCCTTGATTTGGAGCTGGGGTGGTGGGGTAGATTCCTTTACTTTATATAAGAATGCATTGGCAAAGAGAGATAACTGCTGAAGATGTTCCCATTCAGTAAACTGAATGCTACTAGGAGTCCCATGGGATTAATTAGAAAAAATATATTCCTCCTGAAGAAAATCCAGAGCATTATCTTTATTTGTCACATTGAGATTATTACCACCTCTGTCTGCAAATGAAGTTTGTTTTGAAGTTAAATCAATTTGGAATGCTATGAACACTCTGAAAATTTAAATATAAATTTTTATTATTTATTTTTGTTTGATAGTTATGATTTCATTGAATCCTAAAAAAAGAAATAAATTAAAGAAGATTTTTTAACAGGTAACTTTTTTTTCCACTTTTTTCCCTTTTTTTTTAAATATATTAATTCAAGAATGTTTTTAATTTTTAATGTAGAACTTTGTATAAAAACCCCATTCTATCATTAATACTGAAAAAGTTCTTACTGTAACTTTAGAAGAAAATGATGAGAGAAAATTAATCCCTTGGGATTAATTATCTAGCCTGCTGCAGAAAATTTAGTAGGCTTCTCTTTATCTGTCACTTTAAGATTAATGAAAACCTTTGTCTGCAACTGCTGTTTGTTTGAAGTTAAGGTCAAGCCTTCATGATATTTGCATTATTGAAGGCTTTTGCTATTTTATATAACACATTCATAATTGTTTAAATATAAATTCAATGTTAAGTTGTTCTTTACTGCCTAATGTAAATACAAGAATATTATTTTTAAAGTTTTTAATATTCAGAAATTATTTGAAATTTTAAGAAAAAGTTATAAACCTAATTCTTATATTTAAACTCGGTATGGCAAAGATTTTATCTTACTTCAACCCCTGGTACACTGAGTAACTTGGGGCATCACTAAACATTTCACCTTCCGGCGACAAAAAATACGAGATGGCACTTTATTTCTTTTAACTGTTAATTGATATTACAATAAGTATGCCCATTTCTATGCTCAAGTTAATTCATATATAACATTGCTTTGATCAAGTCAAAAAAATGTAAAATTCATAAAAGAAAAATAAGTGTTATTATGTACAATAATTTAATAAACTGCTATGAAGTTTCAAAATGAAGTGATCTGATACGCATTGACCAAATGCTTCATTAAGGATGTGCGGTTAATTTGAGTTTACTATAAGATACTGATATTTTACAACACTTTTTTGCCGATATATGATTCGAAAAAGAAATGGCTATGCCAGGTTTGTTTAGTAATGTACAATTTCGGTGGGTCTGAAAGAAATAAACTATTATTGTAAAACGACAAAGTAGGAAAACATGATTGATTACGCTTTTACCTCTGAAATTCCACCAAAAATTTTCTGAAATTACACCCTTGAAACAAAAAGGGTAGGCAGGTCTGCAGTATTCAGAATTACTCAACCGTAAAATTTATGACGTCACGTAGGGAAAACGCTAAAAAGCCCAAAACTCATGCAATTTGATAACGACGAGTTTGTCAACAAATCTTGTTGCATTATTTGATGCATATGAGGTATGCACATCGTTTTTCAATATTAAGAGACATTATGAATTTATTGTAATCTTGGCACAGTTTACGGAAGTTCAATGGGGTCTTGTTTTCGAATTGCCTTATTCATGAAAAAGGCAACAACGGTTTACTAAGCAGTCTCTTGTAAATTTTCCCCCATAAAACGTTTTAGCCGTTGTCAGAGAGGGTCTGGAGTGGTTTTCAATCAACCGTGATGATGACGGTAACGTGAAACAGAGTCATGTTACGAGCGGGTTATTCATCCTGCCATCTCTTAAATCGCCACCTGACTTCCATAAAAACAGCCATTTATAGAGAAGATGATTATAATCATTACATTCATACAAAATTTGAAAGAAAACAATTCTGCAATTTGGTTTTTTGAGCCAGTCAACTAACGGTTGTATTCCTCTCTGCGCGCGACGTTTAAGTTTTTTTCCTAAATATACCAGGATTTGAAAGATAAACACTCTGATGAAATTCCTTGCAAAGGAGAAACAAGTGACAAATGCACATTTACATTGAAGTAATGAGAGTTTTTGATTTTCACTTTTGGGGGTATCGTCATTTGAAAATTTTCAATAAAGTTCAATAGTTTTAATCTTTTTGAAAATTTTAAAATTAAAAAGTCCATTTGTTTACACAAGTTTCATGCACTTGATTCCTTTCGTATATTTTCATGGCATTTTTTACAACAGACAGATAAAACGAAATGTAGAAAACTTTTTAGGCTTTCTGTCCTGACAATAACATAAATGTCCACAAAAATTGAACTGTCTTAATGAAAAAATATCAAACAATAAATTCACAACTCGTTTATGTATCTTCCATGACTTTTGAAACATCGTCATTTTTTAGCTCACCTGAGCCAAAGGCTCAAGTGAGCTTTTCTGATCAAAATTTGTCCGTTGTCGTCGTTGTGAACTGGCAATATTAATATAGCGAACATATATCTTCTTCTCAAGAACCACTTGGATTTCAACCAAACTTGCTACAAAGTATCCTTGGGTAAAGGGGACTACCGATTTTAGCTTTCAAAACTCGTTCTTTTAATTTTTTAAAAACCCCTTTACATTAAAATGCACTTGGTCCAGGTATGTAGACAAGTGACCCCCAGGGGTATATTCACAAAGTTTTACATAGGAATATATAGGAAAAATCTTTTAAAATCTTCTTCTCAAGAACCACTGGGCCACAAGCGATGAAATGTGTGGACTCATCCTCAACTTACGATTGTATTCAAGTTTCTCACTGGGGCATGCGCGTGCCGGCAGATCAAAATTTTTTAGGAAATAAGGAATATATAGGAAAAACCCTTGCTAAATATAGCCAGGAAATTTGAAAGATAAACACTCAGGTAGTGTGATGAAATTCCTTGCAAAGGAGAAATAGGAAAGGGAAACCTTTGACAAATGCACTTTAAAACCATAGTGATATTGAAGATAATGAGAGTGTTTCGCTTTTTTCACTTTTGGGGGTATCGTCTCCCCCCTCCCTCAATAAATAACTTATGAATGTGTGTTTTTTTAGACAAAATCATATGAGAATTTGGTTATATCTTTTTGAAAGATGATTTTAAAAGGTAGATAGGAAAACTAAAAAGTATTTTAAGATAAACAAATTTAATTCAGCTCAAAAGTTTACCCTGCGTTTCTTTTTCCTTTCGTATATTTTCATGGCATTTTTTATGAGTTTTTAGAAAAAATCAGGGAAAGATAAATTTGTGACATTTATTAAGCACACGAAAACTTTTTAAATACTATGCAAAAATTACCAATGAAACTTTCAAAATTTACTGTTAAAAAACCAAAAATTTTACTGGTCCCCATAATGAAAAAATGAATACATAATAATAAATTTATGCATGCTTGTTTATGTACTTCAACTTTTGAAACATCGCCATTTTTTTACCTTTAGCGTGTTTCAGTAATTTGTTTTTAGGATTTTCGTGCATTTTATGTTCTAGTTAATAGTTACTACACCAAAACTTGGTTATAACAAAGTGACTGGGACCAGTGAAATTACTTTGCTGTATCCGTTATTCATTATATGCGTATTTGAAATTCATAAATTTATATAGCTTGGGATCCAAGATAACTTCGTTATATCCGTGAATTTACAATATCCGTGTCGTACTAAAGGAGTTTTACTGTGTGTAGTTCTGGTGTTTAAGTAAATACATCCATGTTACGTATAATAACATGATTCAACAACACATGCTTGCTCTTTTAATTTGATATATTTATGAAATTTAAGTGAGAGAGTTAAGATACTGTAGATCACTAAATTTTCGCGACACCTTATTTTCGCGAGATTGTCATTGACTCTTTGTAAGCGAGACATAATTTTCACGAATAGTTGTTATTCCTGTATATAATCGTAAGGAATACTTTTATACGTGAGCATTAAATTTTCGCGAACGCATTTTCTCGCGTAATTACGCGAAAATTAAGTTCTAGCGAATAAAAAGTGATTTACAGTATATAATTACACTTTATGATTGTGATAATCAACAATCCAAATGGACTTCTTGAAATTTAATTTTCACTGACCAGACATCAAAATTCTCTGGCCTCAGTCTTCGGACCAGTGAGTTTTCGTGAAGACTGCTGATGTTTTGCTATTATGAAAATAAGGAAACTGATATGGGTAAACAGGTCTGAAAATAAAACCATGCATATGCCAGGCATTTAATGCCTGCTTCTTAATTCATACTTAGCATCAGCATCATCTGAATGCTCAACCAAAAAAGTTCTGGTAGCAAATTACCCCACCAGCCACCTGTGGGTTATGATATCTCTTTAGTGAAAAAAAAACAAAGAATAGTAAGTTTAAGAATACATGTTAAAGGTAATCTGTTTAGCAGAAGGTGAAGTGTTTTGTTTTGTTTTTACAGAAATTTACAAAATAGTTTCTGTTTTGTGTAAGGTGACATGTTTTGTTTTTTACAGAAATTTATAAAAGAGTTTCTGTTTTGTGTAAGTGACATGTTTTGTTTTTTACAGAAATTTATAAAATAGTTTCTGTTTTGTGTAAGGTGACATGTTTTGTTTTTTACAGGAATTTATAAAATAGTTTCTGTTTTTGTAAGGTGACATGTTTTGTTTTTTACAGAAATTTACAAAATCGTTTCACAGAAGCAGATTCGTGATAGCCCGGACGATGATAATTCACCGAGTAACAATGTACAGACAATTCACGTGGCCCCGACCGACAACAACGCCCCCAAACAACAGAAATGTTGTAACGTCTGAGGGGGGGCCCACCACCAGGCATCAGGAACCAAACAACAACAAAGGGAGATCACTCGTTTCAGCATCACTATTGTCAAAGTGCTCGGGATTTCAAGTGTTTACATATCATTTGACGAGTGGTTAGGGTGGAGTGAAGACAAGAGTTCTGTTTTCCTGATTATGTTATTTTGCTATGAATTGTTCTTTTTTTTATGTACATATAGTTATGGTTAATGAACTGTGTCGAGAAATTGGATTTGTATGTTAATGTTATTATACAGAATGCAACACTTTGGTGGCTATTTTGTTTCTTAATGAATATTGATGCATTTTTGCTACATGTATGTACAACTTTGATGCGGACCTAAAACTTTGTGAAACAAGTATACTGCCCAAGAAAGATGGTAAAATATTTTGTTGCTAAATTAGAATGCTAACTGAATTGCAGTAAGGGAGATTTCTTGAGAATGTTTCCACTTGAGGAAGTGCATTGTTCAATATATTATGTCATGTTTTTTTTTTTTTTAATTACAGACAGGGCAAGTTAAAATATTGCATAAACAGCTGTGTGCTTATGTCTGTAAACGATTTGTGAAATTCTTTTTACCATTTTTCTTTTTTAATCATTAAGTGTAGATTTCACAAAATGAACAAAAGAAAAGGAAATGCATGGCCGTTTTGAATTGTGCATTTAAACACTAAAATTGCTGCAGATAATTATTTACATTTGTGTAGACATGTACAGATAAATTTAAACTGTTTGAGTGGATCCAAACACTGTAATAATACTGATGCTGAAATGAGGGGTGGATTCCAATATTTCTTTAAAACATGATAACATTATAACATAATATGAGGAGTGGATCCTCATTTTTTGTTCAGACTTGAATATTTGAGAACTATCATTTTTGACCATCAAATGTTATAAATTTATGGAAGAAAGAGAATTTATTTTGTAAACGATGGTCACTGCATTTTTAATTTTTATACTAAATCTGGCTTTATCATTCGCCTTGGTCCTAGAAGGATCAATGAAAACTTTGTGTGTTTAATTTATTTATCAGATTTGATATTCAAAAAAAATACATGCATTTTTTTTTATGTTAGAAATCAATGTCAAAAATTTTAAAGGTTTTCATTTTGTGGACATAGAATTATAAATCAATTTTGCTAAAATATTGTCTTTTTTGAAGTTTGCTCATAAGATGTTTTGGGCAGAATATATAAAAAGTTGAAATGAAATTTTGTTTTCCAAAAAAGAAAAATTAGAAAACAACAAGGAGAAAAAAATGCTCACCCACATGATTGGATAATGGGAACATACCTACGTAATGTGAAAATGATGTTTTGTTGACCTACATAATGTGAAAACGTGGCGGTTGGCCTACATAATGTTAAATTGAGGCTTTGTTGACCTACATAATTTTAAAATGAGGCTTCTTGGATCTACGTTAATGTGAAAATGAGGCTTCAACTAAAGTGCTATACTTATATTTATTGGTTATTGTATACATATAATATCAAAAAAGAACAAGCTAATTGTGTACAACAGTGACTTTTGTTTATTACCTGTACAATGTAACTTGTCTGATTGTGTCAAAAATGAAATTGTTGAACATACAGTAGGAAGGCTGCAATATGTAATGTAGTCAGATATCAAAACGTCTGATAATGAAAAGTTACCGCCCTTTATGTCCAAGATGAATTCTGTGCGTTGGTTTTGGTGCAGTTGTTAAAATTGACACTGTAAGAGGAGTTAACATTTGATATAACAAACTCTCAGTTTAAACTGTTGGTATACAAATTGTAACATTTTCTCTGTATAATATTTTTAAGCTATACTAAATTTATCAAACTGCAGTTTACTAGATTTTTAATTCATTCCAGATATTCATACAATGAGCTATTTTTTTCTTTATTTTTTCACACCTTTACTATAATTCTGCATGTTTTGTTTATTATTGGCATTCAGTGAGAGAATGGGTCTGTCAGGACCAAAGAATTTATGTGTGAATGTGAGAGGTATTATTAAACACTGGAATAAATATATGAAATATGACTGAGGGAATTTGTTTTTCTCTTTTTTCTGTCTTGATGCCTTAGGGGAAGATGAGGCTTTGGAATTAATTGGAACATTTAAGGAATGTTTCTGAAGTTTTGTGTGAGTTATTGGTGTGTGAATCACACAGACTTGTCACATAGGCATATTTCATGAAGCGTGCTAGCAAAAGATGACAAAATAGGAGGCTCCAGAACCACTGGGCCTGAAAAGTTGAAACATCACAGGTACTTGAGTCTTGGTTTATAAAAAAAAATATTTTTGTATCATATAAATATTACTTTTTTTTTTACATATAAATCAAGAAGGTACATACATATTCATAAACCACTACTCAAGTACCTATGTGGAAGCATGCTGGGGGAGTGTAGATTCTAAATTTTTAAATTTATGACCCGGGGTTTAGGGAGGAACGAGAATAGGTAATCCAAGTTTTTCATTGAAACGTATTGTAAAAATATTTAAAAGACATATCTTCAAGAACCTTTGGGCCAGAAAATCTGAAACTGTGGGGAAGCATCCTGGGAAAGTGTAGATTTTGCATTATCCATGTCATAGGGTGTAACTTTCTTAATAAGTCACAATACGTGAATTCGTATTTTTCCAAGACACAAACAGCTCAGATAAATTGTTCAATTATACTTTAATTCTGATTCATCACTTCAAGTGGAATTATGGCAGTATGGTATGGTATATATCATCAATGGTGATCTACAATAAATATGAATACCTTACGTACCGTACATTCACACATTAAATATTTAACTGAAATTTATATCATTATTTAATTCAGAATTTAATTTACTGATTATAAAATAGTTTAATTAAAATAACTTACCATGTAGACAGAATTTAACACTCCTATTTATATGGATAGGTTACATATGATGTAAGTCAGTAGTAACGTCTGTCTTTGCGAGGGTTTTCATAAGAAGTGATAAAAATATTATTTCATGCAAGGGTTAATAAAATTCGCGCCAGACATGCGCAGTGACTGGAAAAACCAGTCAAACACACCCATACGCATCCCATACTCACCGTATGACATCAGAGGTCATGAACTTACAAACCATGAATGAATAAATGAAAGAAATAACGCATGCGCATATTAACAATCATAGTACAACGTAAATAATGATCCTGTGACATCCAAATTATGGCCCTTGGTGGTAGACAAGTGCCTGTGGGGTGGGATTACAATAGGTATTACAAAGGGGAAATCTGGTATAGAATCATCGTCTCAAGCCACGGTCCGGAATCCAGAATAGAAGAGGATCGTACATTTTGGCCGTGGTTTGCGACGATGGTAAAGAATGTAGCATGACCAAAGTTACTCAGGTGAGCGATTTGGTCCTCTAAGTGTCTCGGGTTGGATAAAAGAGCGACATCGCTCACAGCCAGAGGATAAAACTAGTGTTTACCAAGTTATTTATTCAACTCGATCTAAAACAAACCATCTCCGGCCTTTCCGTAAAAGGTCGGAAAAACCTTGTTTTGATTACCGCTCGCCGAAAAGGTCCGAGAAGTTGCGATTGAGGAGACATCCAATCGATTTATAAGACCTAGTCTATTTATAGATATGACAGGTGCGTGACTCAGGTTTGTTTGTAAACATTACACACAATGGCCAGACTGGCAGTTTCTACATGATTGTTTAATATCATGGCTATAAAAAGACACCTTAGCAGTATGATTATTTATTTTGTCCATTTACGTTATTCAAATGTTGACTCATAAAAAAGTTTTTAAAATTTCTCCCTAAATCGGCTTATATATAAATGTTGATGTTTTATGATTTAGTTTAAAGGCAGATATAACGGGGAAGGAATATACACGTGTTTGGGATATAGAGTTCTATCTTCATTTTTGTTGTTGTTTTTGTTGATTATTTTCTTGGTGATCCAGAGCTAGCAATCTTAATATTTCTATCGATTAAAGGATTAATTGTGCATAAAATGCAGAAAGCATCTAAATGTACCCACAGGACGTGTGAGCACTGCAAAAACCAACCAAATCCCCCGACATATTCAGAAGATGAATACGACTTCTTGGCGAAAGGTTTGTACAATGCATTTTAGCATTGGATATATTTCAAAAACTATGTAAATTTTGTTAAGTTATTTCTTTTTTTCTTTTGGTTGAATGCGAAAGAGAATATTGAGCAAATATTATAATTTTTTTTAAACTTTTATATCATGTTCGTTTTAATTTTCATAGGCGAAACCAAATTGTAAGTGGGGAGGTGGGGGCTAAAAAGTACGAGGGGTTAAACCAAATTTATTTCACACGCCTATTTTTATGTCAATCAGCACTTAAAAATGTATAGGAGGCTAAGCCCCCAGCCTCCGATTCGAACCCTATGGTTAATTTTCAAGAATCCCTGTCTACTCGAATGTACGAGCGTATGCAAAAGTTAGTTAAGCGCAACAGAATATTTGGCAACTTTTGAGGACAATGATTTACTTAATACCATTTTTATTTCGTAAAAATATAAATTAGATCTTGATTTGAAAACCTTAACATATTTCAAAGTCATGTCAACAGTAATTTTCTTCTTACTGATTTTTAAAAACACTTATTATTCAAAGTAGAATAATGAGCACACAAGATCCTGTTCTAAAAATATAATGATCTGATCTCCTGACAATGGTTGACGATTTTTTATATTGGTAGACAGTTTTTTCTAATAGGGTGATGATTCCTTTAATAATTAATATTTCTTACAGTTGTGCTGATTGGATGATGATTCCTTTTATATTTGTTACAGTTTTACTGATTGGATGACGATTTGGTTTATATTTGTTACAATTTTGCTGATTGGGTGATGATTTCATTTATATTTGTAACAGTTGTGCTGATTTGGTGACGATTCCTTTTATATATTGTAACAGTTGTGCTGATTGGGTGACGATTCCTTTTTTGTTACAGTTGTTCTGATTGGCGACAGCGGTGTTGGTAAGAGTAATCTTTTGTCAAGATACACCAGAAATGAGTTCAGTCTAGAGAGCAAGACTACGATTGGAGTAGAATTCGCCACCAGGTAGGAACTCTTCAGTGAGTGGAGGGGGGGATTTAAATTTTTGAATGAATGAATTTTTCTCCCGAATAAAACTTTTTTAATTATATATTTGCTGTAAAAAGTTATTAATTACGTGATATTTTTATAGATTCAGATTTTAAAATTGAACTAAAATCATTATGAATAAAATTAACTATAATCATATTATGTGTAAAATCATCGAATTAAATATGCTCTTGATCTGATGTTTTAGGAGTTTCACATTAATGCTCTTGATCTGATGTTTTAGGAGTGTACACATTAATGGTCAAACGCTGAAAGCACAGATCTGGGACACCGCGGGGCAGGACAGATACAGAGCCATTACTAACGCGTAAGTACACAGAAATCTATTGCGTAAGTACACAGGTACACAGAAATCTAATGTGTAAGTACACAGAAAATACAAAGAAATCTACAGTAATGCGTAAGTAGTAGTACACGGAAAATACAAAAAAAAAAAAAAAAAAAAAAAAAAAAACAACAAAAACAACTAATGCGAAAGTACACATAAAAACTAATGCGTAAGTGTACATGTACTCAGAAATATAATGCTGAAGTACATAGGAAACTAATGTGTAATTACACAGAAAACTAATGTGTAATTACACAGAAAACTAATGTGTAATTTCACAGAAAACTAATGTGTAATTACACAGAAAACTTATGCTTAACACAATAATGAATACAGAGACCAATTAAAGTGCCTTATTACACAGAAAACAAATGAATTGTGTAAAAATTAAAATACAAGAAAAATTTCGCATAGAATGTAATATCAATACATCGTAAGATACATCATAAACAAACTTCAACAAAACAGACATTTAAAATAATTTTCAAACCCCTTTTTAAGCAAATGCATATATAGAAATATATTTATTTTAATTGCAGATACTACAGAAAAGCTGTCGGCGTCGTGATGGTTTACGATATTGCAAAACGGGTGACATTTGATAATTTAGATAAATGGCTGAAGGAAGTGCGTGACTTTACCGATGATGACGTCATTTTAATGTTGGTAGGAAATAAAACGGATTTACGTCATTTGCGTGCTGTGTCGTCACATGAAGGTCAGCAGTATGCAGGTAATTTAAAGACCAAATGTTTACCATTTATTATAGCAAAATAAGAAAAGCATTACTTTGTATTGAAATACTCGTAATCCATGAAAAGTCCTTTTTAGGCATTTGCGGTGTCTATACTCTTGATAGATATATATATTTCAGTGATAAATTATCACAGAGTTGTTTATTTTCCATTTCAGATTTCTTTTTGTTTAGTGAAACAGAAAGTTTAAATTGGATTTTATTTTTAAACCGTATAGTTATTTTATCTTCTATGTTTTCGTATTGTTTTTGAATACAACTCACTTGTGTCACTTCAGAGAAAAATAGAATGTCTTTTATCGAGACATCGGCTTTAGACACTACACACGTGGAGACCGCATTCCAGACAATTTTATCAGGTGAATAACATTTATTTACCTTCTTCAATAATTGTAGCATTCATGATTCAATGATGTTGCCATAATTGTAATACAGTTTTTATTCTATATACAATGTTTATGAATAATTGCATGTCATTTGTAGTATTTATTTATCCCCATACCATATATGTTCCCTTAAACGACAATTTTTTTAAAAAACACCACCTAAATTATTTACAAAATCAAATGAAGTGCTTGGGCCTATACATTCACGTATTTCTTCAGAAAAAAGCATTTTTCTCTTTAAAAAAATATTTCTGATACCCCAAAAGTGAACAACAAATATGTTTTTTGACAATAAATGAGGCCTTATTTTCAACGTTTTAAAAATATTATTTCATAAAAGTACTTGATTTTATTAAGTTAATTTTCCGGAGTTATCTTTCGTTGTTCACCCTTACGATTTTCAATAAAAAATATTTTTTTAAATATATATAAATTCTTTTTGTTTTCGAAAATTTTGAATGAAAAATAAAAAAAGAGCGATTTCCTTATATTTCAATTTTTAAGTAAAGTAGTTCATTACAGGGTTTCTACATCGGTTTTAAAAATTAATTCCTGAATCACCAAAAAGTAACTATTAATGATTAATAATTGTTTAATTATAATTTTCAGAAATCTACTCCCTGGTTTCCCAAAAAGGCATAAAGGACGATACAGGTGGTTTCACACTCACCAGTGAGCTACAGTCGTATGACGTCACAGAGACTGAAAACGAGAAGGACGGAAAGAGAAAGTGTTGTACTATCATGTGACACACTGTTTGTTACCCTGTAACATACAGCAGTTATCACGTGACATGGAGTACATTGTCATGTGACATAAGGCATGTCATCACGTGACCGGCATTACAATGACCACCATTTGTTTTCATTTCACATGCTGACTTGTGTGCGTCCAAGATCACAGTGGCTACTTAAAGAAATACTAATATCAAATCCAGCATATCTGTAGCAAGCTTTGAATTTACCTCTTACCATGAAATGTATTTTCTCTGCATATCTTAAAAATCAATTTCTGCTTTACTCCTTCTAAATTAATGTTAACATCATATTTGTGTGTGATCTCTCTTTATTTGTGCGTAAGCTCGCCCAAGACCCACCATATATTCTTGTATAAGTTCATATCCATGACAATCCTAAAAGCTGCCTTGTATTTAATAATAAGTTATATTTTATATGTTCTTGATGTGTACTGACTTAAATCATGAATCCTTAAACAGTAAGAGCTTTGTTTGCTGCTTCTGAAAATTCCGCATTGCTTTTAAATCTTGACATGCATTTCCATTTACAAATAACTATTTTCCATCTTTTAATTAACCTTCGTTCAATCCGACACACTGTTTATTCCTGCATTTGTGTCAATGTGCCTTATGGATTAGACAGGTTTCACTAGACTTTCCCTTTCTGATAGGCTTAAATGAATGATTGGCACAGATATGTTTTACAACATTGCTTTATTTGTTAGCTTTTCAGTGTGTGAGCGATAAACTGCATGACTGTGTTCATTGAAAATATGTAAACATTTTTTTTTATAGATAATGTTTAGTTCTAAATGAAGAAATTCCAAGAGTGAATTGCTGATAGAGCAAAAAATAAGATATGTATTCTTGAGGAAAGAGAAAAATCAGTATCATAATGCTTATTATGTATTTTTATTGCTTACAAATTAATGTACGTTATATGTTATAATGTTATGCAAATAAAAAAAATCCGGTGTTAAACTAGTGTATATTGTTAATGGAATTATATATCGTATATATTGATCACATCATTTTGGTTTTTCTTTTTAGTTTTTGTTACATTTAAAAAAAAATAAAAATCGTGTATTATATCGGATAGTATTTTTTTCTTTCAATGAAATATGTAGAAATAACAAAGAATAATCCAACTCCAAAGTCAATTAAACAATACAAAATACAGGTAGGAGAGGAGCAAACACGAAACTCCAAAAACTCTAAAACATCAGAGGTGGTCCATAAAACAATACAAAATATAGGTACGAGAGGAGCAAACACGGAACTCCAAAAACTCTAAAACATCAGAAATGGTCCTTAAAACAATACAAAATACAGGTAGGAGCGGAGCAAACATGGACCTCCAAAAAACTCCAAAACATTAGAGGTGGTCCATAAAACAATTCTACAAAATACAGGTAGGAGAGGAGGAAACACGGAACTCCAAAAACTCTAAAACATCAGAGGTGGTCCATAAAACAATACAAAATATAGGTACGAGAGGAGCAAACACGGAACTCCAAAAACTCTAAACATCAGAGGTGGTCCATAAAACAATACAAAATACAGGTAGGAGCAAACACGGAACTCCAAAAACTCTAAACATCAGAGGTGGTCCATAAAACAATACAAAATACAGGTACGAGAGGAGCAAACACGGAACTCCAAAAACTCTAAACATCAGAGGTGGTCCATAAAACAATACAAAATATAGGTACGAGAGGAGCAAACACGGAACTCCAAAAACTCTAAACATCAGAAATGGTCCTTAAAACAATACAAAATACAGGTAGGAGCGGAGCAAACATGGACCTCCAAAAAACTCCAAAACATTAGAGGTGGTCCATAAAACAATTCTACAAAATACAGGTAGGAGAGGAGGAAACACGGAACTCCAAAACATCAGAGGTGGTCCATAAAACAATACAAAATACAGGTAGGAGAGGAGCAAACACGAAACTCCAAAAACTCTAAAACATCAGAGGTGGTCCATAAACAATACAAAATACAGGTAGGAGAGGAGCAAACACGGAAATCTAAATACTCCAAAAAATCAGAGCTTGGATCAGGTCCCATGGAGGAGTGAGCATCCCATGCTGACCGGTCACATCCACTGTGTGCTCATTGTTATAATCGGGAAATAACGGAATACAAGTACATGTATACTTAAACTTGTACAAAAACCACTAGAGTGACCATTATTTACAAATATTTTAGGCTGATGTGACGGAGTCCGTGATTGCTCTGCTCCTATTTTGATTTGTTTGATGGAGTTTTTACCTCCTATACTTTTCGTTATTTCCCTGTATATTTTTTATACAATATCAATAATTGGCATATACTTGATATATTTTTAATATTAGATTTATCGTAATAATCATTTTGATCGATCATATAAACATACTAAATATTCTATTACAAAAACTGGAATATCAATCTTTGTTTTTTCCCCAATATTACGAAAACATTAAAGTGGAAATATTTAATCTAGACCTCATGGTTTTTTAAATATGAGAGTTCTTGTCTTAAAGTGAAATGGAAATTGTGATTAGATATTGCAAATAGCAATGCTCGTATGTTAGAGTCCAATTTAATTTCTTTTATTTAGGAACGTACACAGTTTTAAAAATGATAAATAAGAACACATCCAAGTGAAAGTGATTATGAAAATAACGTATTTTGATTCAATACTAGTATTCATTGTAACTTACATTAATCTACACAACAAAAATAAAAAAAAAAGATCAAGCCACATTATAAATGTCAAAAATACTATGAATCTTATACATCTTTAAAAGAATAACACTAGGGAATAGTAAAAAAAAAAACCCGTATAAGAATATAGGGAAGACGAGTCATAAGTTAATAGGTAAGAAAGTCAGTAAGTCAGTAAATAAGTAAGTATAAGTGATTAGTTATAGTGATATGTTTTATAAGATGCAGTGAGAAACATTTAATATAGATCAAATATACAAACCTCCAGCCCTTGCACCTTCATGTTACTTTAATAAGATTACATAAAATTTTTTTTTTTTTTTTTTTTTTTTTTGTCAAGATCAAGGTCAAACATGGAGTAGGCACTTTCCAACTCCAGTGCAATTATTATGGTTCTTGGTTAATTGGATGATAAAGAGGAGGGGATTTGTGATCCTGTAACTGGATAAGTGATTTCTGGATGCTATTTCACAAGTATTAAGTGACATACAATGTGAGTTAAAAAGTTTTCTTTGTGTTTTCCAAGCTAGTCTATGAACCTCCATAATGAATCTCCATATTGATATCTACTCAGCTTGGCCTTACCATAGAATCATATTGAAAACAATCTAGACAACCCCTCCATAATTAACAAGAGGCCCACGGGCCTTATAGGTCACCTGAGCATCATGCAAAAACTTTCAAATGATTGAATTTGGTTCATGTTTTAAGCTAGATGCTATTGCATTCACGATTTTGAAAGAGGCACCAATGCTAATCATAACTATACACTTAGCAATTGTTTGGTTTGTTTACTTAATACCCATAAGCAGGGTAGGGGAACAAAAATGTATGTCAACTAATCAGTAATATTCAGCGATAATCAGCAGTGCTCCTACCACACATGAATCCCTGACCCTAGGTCTACACATTGCACAATTTTTGAAAAGGCACACTCGCTTATCAAAAATGTTTGATTTATACCAAGGAGCATATATCAAACAATTCATTTTCAGTATATAAGTAGAGCCCCCCCCCCCCCCAAATTTTGGTATCCCAGACCCAGGGGCCTTGAAATTCACAATTCTGGAAGAAGAGCCTATCATAGATATGTAAATAGTTCATCTGCTTATTACCCAGAAGTAGAGAAAAAGATTTTCATAGATGTAATGCATTTTCACTATATAATCAATAGAGCCCTGCCCTAACACCATAACCCCTGGGGCAATAAAATTCATAATTTATGTAGAGACACTCTTGCTCATCATAACTATGTCCTTAATTAGTTTATTTAATACTCAGAAGCAGAGAAGAAGATTTTCAAAGATTTAATGCATTTTCACTATATAATCAATACAGCCCCGGCCCTAACACCATAACCCCTGACCCTGGGGCCAAAAAATTCACAATTTTGGTAGAGGCACTCTTGCTCATCATAACTATGTACTTAATTAGTTTATTTGATACTAAGGAACAGAGAAGAAGATTTTCAAAGAAATAATGCATTTTCACTATATAATCAATACAGCCCAGCCCTAACATCATAACCCCTGACCCTGGGGCCAAAAAATTCACAATTTATGTAGAGACACTCTTGCTCATCATAATTATGTACTAAATTAGTTTATTTAATACTCAGGAACAGAGAAGAAGATTTTCAAAGAAATAATGCATTTTCACTATATGATCAATATGGCCCCACCCTAACACCAGAACCCCTGACCCAGGGGCCATGAATTTCACAATTTTGGTAGAGGACTCAATGCTGATTACAATCATACCAACAGTTTGACTGCTTGATGTCCAGGAGTAAAGAAGAAGATTTTTAGAGATTGCACTAATTTTAGTGGTTTTTGCCCCACCCCCCAGGCCCCAGGGGGGCAGGGACCACGAAATTCACAATTTTTGTTCCCCTTTACCCATAGATGCTTTATGTAAAAATTGGTTGAAATTGGTTCAGCGGTTTCAGAGAAGAAGCTGAAAATGTTTAAATGTTAACGCACGACGCACGACGCACGACGAACGACGGACGACGAACGACGACAGACGAAAACGGATAGCAATAGGTCACCTGAGTTTACTCAGGTGACCTAAAAATTAAAACAGGAATCTGCTTCTATTGAATCTTCAAAACTTTTCAAAATACAATATTTGGGATTATCAAAATGTCTCTCAACACTGGAAAGCCTAAGAACAAAAACTTTTCCTGAAGCAAAAGCATGGGCTAGGGCTCAGGTGCTAGAAAGGGTGGTCAATCTGCTGTATCCTCCATTGGACAAACTAAACAGCCTAGCAATAAGAGATTCAGGGAAGGGAGTGAGTCAGGCACATCCTCGGGAAACATCACATCAATTGATGACACTAACCAGGATCTATCCCAACTAAATTCCCTTCTTGATCACCTTACCAAGGATGAGGAGAGCACCAAGAAAGTAATCAACATCATTCTTGGAAAGCCGACAATCAATTCATGTATCAGTGAACATTTTATGTCAGAAATTACAGACATTCACAATGAAATGAGGGAACTGAAGAACAGGGTGGACAGCATGGAACAGTATTCTAGACGCACATGTCTAAAATTTTCAGGAATACCTGAGGAACAAGGTGAACATACAGACAATATTATCTTAAAAGTCTCTAATCAGTTTATCCTTCCCTCAGACAACCCATTGGAAATTCACCAAATCAGCAGATCACACAGAGTTGGCCCACCCAGGGATGATGGCGTTCCAAGGGATATTATTGTTCAGTTTTCTAGTTACCGTGACAGAGCACGAGTGTTTGGCAACAAAAGAAATCTGAAAAGCTTCAACCAGAATCCATCCAACAGATACAAGATCTTCATCAATGAAGCACTTACAAAAAAGCGAGCCCATCTCCTATTCGAGGCTAGGAAACTTGTAAAGAGCAGTGATCAGTTGGAAAATGCATGGACGTATGATGGAAAAATAATTGTTAAGACAATAGGGAAGAAAAAATTCACCATAGAGACCGAGGAGGGCTTCCGCAAGCTGCATACTTTCCTTGAGTCACCAAACGATCCCCTATCTCCTGAACTACATCAAGAGTTTGCACCACTTACCTCAACTCCTGCTAATGCTGCCTATAGGGACTAGACGTCTTACGTATGGACTCTTGCCGATCTGAATTTAATTCGACGGCCGTAAACGTTCTATTTCCTTGCCGCATACTTGGTGCAAATCTGTCACTTCTCCACGTGCAAAAACACTCAGGGTTTCTCGAGCGCTTGTGACACGATTACCAGTGCGCTTTACCAGGGGCAGACTAATCAACGAGATACATGACCAGGCCATGTATATAGCACACTGATTAGTTATTTAATCTGCCATATATTACATCGATATGGTTTTCATTTTTACTGTATATACATGTATTTATGTTGTATACCTTTTTCTTATTATGTTCATTTCATCTTCAACTTAGTTTTTTCAATTCGGTTCTTACCACTTCCCAGGGCTCAGTAGACTGCACTTTCAGTGTTTACTTGTATTACAAAGTGAAAGTTGTCAATTTTACAATGGTTGTGGCATTTTCTGATCATACCAACCTGATTTTTGATACAAATGACTAAGAGTGACATATATTATTTCCCACAACCATGTGCAAAACGATGTGTAAGGGATAGAATTATTCAAGGTATGTCCTTATATTATTACTTGGTAATCTATTATTTACTCATTATAGGAGGCATTGAAATCAATCCAGGTCCTACATTGAACTCCAATATAAAAATTATACATAATAATGTGTGTAGCATTCTCCCTAAAATTGACATTATATATAATGAACTATATGATTATGATATTGTTGCTATTACTGAAAGTCATTTAGACCAATCTATAACTGACAATGATATTGAACTTGAAGGATTTCAATCACCCGTTAGACTTGATCGTAACAGGTATGGGGGTGGTGTTATGATCTATGTTAAAAGTAACCTCAGTTTCAAGAAACGAGAAGATATCTTTACTTCAAATATTGAAATTATATGGATTGAGATTGAAAATGGTAATCATAAATTCTTAGTTGGTGTAATATATAGACCACCTAGTGCAAAAGCAGACTTTGTAAACCAACTTGCTCTATCTATAGAAAGTGCTTTGAATGCTGAATTACCAATATTTCTATTGGGTGATTTTAATTTTGATATGTTAGCTGATGGTAACAATGCATTTAAAAACATGTTGCAAAATTTTTCTTTATCAAATGTACCCGCACCTCAGATCTCCACATTTTTTCCTTATTCAAAATAAGGAAAAAATGCGGACGGGAGTATTTGGACTAATTTTCCGCATTCATTCCAGATTTTCTCCGTATTCAAATTTCCAGATTTTCTCCGTATTCAAAATATGGAGAAAATGTGGATGGGAGTATTTGGACTCTTTTTCCGTATTCCCTCCAGATTTCCGCATTTCCATATATACAAAATATGGAGGTATTTACTTGGTTGATAAAATGCGGAAATACGGAAATCTGGAGAAAATACGGAGTTAATCACATGGTTATAAAATGGCTAATAAAACCGCTACATGATGCATACATACATAAATATTTACAAAACCATCAACAATGTGCAAAATTATATACAATTTATTATATCATTATGAGAAAAAAACATATAAATGAATGAACAAAATTACACATTATGTTCATGAGCAATGTATTGGATCTTATATCTTTGACAAACAAATAGGAGCATGTATGGGAAAAAAAACTAGAACTCTTATTTAAGCCACAAGTTCATCATGGAAAAAATGTGGCATTTTTTAATATTCATATTAAATAAATGGAAATTTATTCATTCTATTTAAGCAAAAGTGGGAGTGAAATGTTCAACACTATTAGGTATTGGGGAAAAAATAACAATTGACATAGCATTGAATATTTACAAAACAAGAAAAAACTTTAGACATTTTTTATCAATCTGGATCACATTTGCCATTTTCTACCTGCATCCCTGATTCATATTTCTCACAATTCAATTTATATCTCAGGTCTGTGCTTTACACCCATCTGTCCAATAAAAATTTTCTTCAGACTTCTTTGTAATTTGTAAGTCTCTGCATGTTTAATTTCTTGCAGCAGCACTTGTGGTCGAATTGTCAAATCCTATCAATTAAAAAAAAGTTCTTAAATTATAATGGTGCAATATTAATAATATTTAAATTCATTGCTTTTATTCCTTTTAAAATCTTTTCATAAACACAAGTTTGGGTTCTTCAATTTAATATCAATTTGTTTAAAATATTATTTATAATAATGACAATCATAGTTGACTGTTTTTAATTAAACAAGCAATAAAAAAAGAAATAAAAGAATATATATACCTCAAACATAACCATCCATGGACCAAGCTTTAAGCCCGTTAAAATCGCAGTAAGTTGAATAAGCACTTATTCTTTTTCAGAAATCTCCTCCTCATGCACAGACGCTACCAAAAAAAAATGTATGGTAAATCATTGCTAGAGATTACAGCCCATGGCTCACCAAAATTAACACCTTTAATTGTGGTTAACCATAATAAAATTCTATGAGCTGATTGAAAGATTTGAATCATGGGCATATTGGCTGAAACGTACGTAGTCTGGTAGCTCAGTCCTAGGCCTAGAGTATTTATTTTCATCATCACAGTGACACACATGTTAAAAAAAATATGACTGACCTACCGCATATGAAATACGTGTATCTGCATCTTTTGGTTGATACAGCAATACGATCTCAGGCTGTCTGGTCAACAAACTTCTTCCTTTAGACAGAGCAGACGTTGCAACATGGAGGCCAAGGTTAAATTTTGGCGGTCTGTTGTTTAAATTAATTGATCACTGAGCCCGACTTTTTGAAACATTCTTCCGATCCCGATCAAATTGTACATAAAATTCAGGAGAAACAGAGAACTGCTGTTAACTCCAAGACAGTTTTTATGCACCCAAATTTTTTTGGGGCGCATATTGTTTTTGTCCTGTCTGTCTGTTTAGCTGTATGTCTGTCTGTTTGTTTGTCTGTTGTCAACTTTAACCTTCGCCATAACTTTTGAACCATGAGACTTAGAGACTTCATATTTGGTATGGATACTCCACTACAAAAACACTTTCAACTGACACCAAGGTCAATGACCTTATGACCTTGATTGTGACCTTTATGCTAAAAATAGCTTTTTCGAACTTTCGCCATAACTTCTGAACCGTGAGAGATAGAGACTTCATATTTGGTATGCATACTCCACTAATTAGGCACTTTCAACTGACACCAAGGTCTGTGACCTTGACTGTGACCTATATGCTAAAAATAGCTTTTTCGAACTTTCGCCATAACTTTAAAACCGTGAGAGATAGAGACTTCATATTTGGTATGCATACTCCACTAATTAGGCACCTTCAACTGACACCAAGATCAATGACCTTGTGACCTTGACTGTGACCTATGTGCTAAATATAGCTTTTTTCGAATTTTTGAACCATAGATGATAGAGACTTAATATTTGGTATGCATACTACACTAATAAAGTGCTTTCAAATAACACCAAGAACAATGATTGTGTGACCTTGACTGAGACCCATTTGCTAAAAATTGCTTTTTAGAACTTAATGTTGCCATCTTGTTCTTGATGAAAAAATTCTAAGTCCAGAGCTCCGTATATTTTCCGGATGAAAAATATTCTAAGTTAAGAGTTCAATATTTTTCCAGATGAAAAATAGACTAAGTCCAATTCTCCGTATTATTTCCGTTTATTTTCCGGATTATTTCCGTATATTTTCTGCTTTTCCGTATTGTTAATTTTCTCCGTATTTTTTTCCACATTTTTTCCATATTAAAATGAGGAAAAAATGCGGAATAATGCGGAAATCTGGAGATCTGAGGTGCGGGTTGTTACAAAACCAACAAATTTTTCAAGATCAAAAGGTACATGTATTGATCTTATTATTACCAATGCTGTTGAAAAAATAGAAACTGTAAATATCTTAACGCCTTTTTGTAGCACTCATAGTCCAGTTGGTGTTGATCTACATTTTAAAACATTCAAGCAACACTCATATAAAAGATACATAAGAAACTAACTACTCACAACTATGCACAGATTTGTTAAATGTTGATTGGGATAGAGAGGTATTTAATACACAGAATATCAATGACATATATGATAACTTTATGAATATATATAACCATTATGTTGACAAAAATATACCTAAAAAAGTAGTGACCATTAGACCATCAGATAAACCATTTATGACAAGTGCTATTAGATGTAAGATGCGACAAAGAAATAGAGTACATTATAAAGCAAAAGCAAATAATAATGAATATCAATGGAGTAGATACCGTCATTTATGGAATGAAGTAATAAGTATGGTACGTAAATCAAAACAAGTCTATAAAGAAAAAATTACCTCACAAATATTAGATAGATCAATACCACCTGGCAAATGGTGGCGAATTGTAAAGTCTATTACTAAATTTTCTAAAAAACAGACTAAACCCCCACCAATAAAATCCAATGGTAGAATTTATATACACCCAGTTGAAAAAGCTAATATAATTAATAAACACTTTGCAGAAATATCTCATATTGATGTCAGCACAGAATCCCAATTACCCCCTCAAGGGCCAGGTCCACCATATTCAATAAACACAATTCATATTACACCCCAAGAAGTGGAGGATCAATTACATAATATCAACCCATCTAAACCTCCAGGACCAGATGATATTTCTCCACAAATACTGAAAAATATAATTCCGTCTATCACTGCACCCCTAGCAAAATTGTTTAATGCATCATTAACCAGCAAACAGCTTCCCCATATATGGAAACTATCAAATATTACACCAGTTTATAAAAATAAAGGTAGTCCCGAAGAACCAGGAAACTACAGACCTATTGCTTTAACTAGTATTCTCTGTAAGATTATGGAAAAAATTATTTTCAAACATCTCCACAACTATATGATGGATCATAATCTTTTATCTAAGAATCAGTCTGGATTCCAACCTGGGGACTCCACTGTAAATCAGCTTCTAGAAATATACAATACTATTATAAGTAATTTAGACCAAGGCAAAGATGTAAGATTTGTTTTCTGTGATATATCAAAAGCATTTGATAAGGTCTGGCATAAGGGGTTATTATTTAAGCTTAAGCAGAATGGTGTTGTCGGAAATATATTGGAATGGATTGAAAACTATCTTACTGATCGTGAACAAAAAGTTTTATTAGAAGGGTACTCCTCAGTTAGAGAAAGTATAAATGCAGGCGTCCCACAAGGTTCGGTATTAGGACCATTCCTCTTTTTGATATATATTAATGACATAACTGAAAATTTAGAAAATCAAATTAGGTTATTTGCAGATGATACTTCTTTGTTTGTAATTGTAGACTCTGATACACAAGCCCCTGCTGTCTCTTTAATAAATGACTTGGAAAAAATTAAACAGTGGTCCAGACAATGGATGGTAGACTTTAACCCTAGCAAAACTGTAAATGTTAATTTTACCCGATCAAATAAAGCTCATCCACAAATCTCATTTGGTTATGTAAATAGTTACATAGAACAACAGCAAAGTCACTGCCACCTTGGACTTATACTACAATCCAATGGTGGTTGGTCAGAACATATATCCAAAATATATCATAAAGCATGTCAACGTTTAAATGTTCTTCGCACCCTTAAATACAAATTAAACAGAGATTCTCTCATTAGTATTTATATTGCTTTTATAAGGCCTATTTTAGAATATGGAAATGTAGTATGGGATAATTGCACACAGGAACAGAGTAATCTATTAGAGAGTGTGCAAATAGAGGCAGGGCGTATCATTACTGGGTTAAGACGCAATTCTTCAAAACAAAAATTGTATAATGAATTAGGATGGCAAACACTTAGTGAAAGAAGAACTAAACATAAGCTTACACTTATGTACAAAATACTTAATGATTATACACCTGAATATTTGCAAGAAATGGTCAATCAATGCCTACCTGTTTCACATAATTACGCGTTACGCAATAATTCGTATCACTTACCAATCACTAGAACAGTTGCATACTACAATAGTTTTTTACCATCTACAATTAAATTATGGACTGATTTGCCAGATAGCTTAAAATCTGTAACAAGTGTAGCAAAGTTTAAACAGTGTATGCAAAATAAAAATCTTGAAGATAAAACAAAATCCAAATTATACAATTATGGACAAAGAAAATTAAATATACTCCACTGTCAGTTGAGAAACTTCTCTAGTAATCTTAATGCAGACTTGTTTAATCATAATTTAGTTGATTCACCTAAATGCTTAAAATGTGGATATTGTTTTGAAGACTCTGTTCATTTTTTTCTTTCAATGCCCATGTTATGATTTTGCCAGGAACATTTTAATTACATACATGAGTGACCATGAAATACCAAGAGATGTCAATATTGTATTATCAGGTTATGATTGTCTATCTCTTAGAGAAAATATGTTATTCTTTGACCAAGTTCATAATTTTATAAAAAAACACTAAAAGATTTTAGTCTGAGCCTTCCTTTCCATATTCTTTATTACTTAATTTTTTGTTTGTTTGTTTTTTCCATCATTTTTCTCTTCTTTCTCACTTTTCTCTTAAGTTAATGTTATTGTTTTCTTTATGCATTTTTTCTCCTCAATTTTTCTTCAACTATGTATTCTTTATAATTCTCTTAATATTAATTTATAATACATGTTTTTTTGAACTTAAAATATGTACAGTAATTTAATTGTACCATGTGTACCTTGATCTCAAATGGAGAGAACTAATATAGGCCCTTGGCCTGCTGTTCAATCCATATTCATATTGTACTTTTTGTATATTATGAATAAAATACTTCTTAAACTAAAATATGTAAGTTTACATACTCATTAGGGTTAAAATAGCCCTAATGTTCCATATTATATAAGCCACGCATGTGATAAGTCTTACATAATGGTGAGGTAGACGAGGCATTTCATGATCAAAAATAGCATGAAAGGAATGATCTAACAACTAATATGAATTATGTCTGCTCAGTAAATATAGAGCCCGGCGAAAGGTTAATCATGCTTCCAAACCAGGCTATCTAGAACGGCTATATGTCAGATGTTTTGGTGATATATCTTGGAAAAGATCAACAAACCTAGTAGAGAAGGAAATTAACCCCGTTTTGTTCTCTTTTTTGTGACAGATTCATAAACATTGTCTTGAGCATAAAAAAACAAAACCAATAATTTTCCATACTTTACAATGCACAACTTCACGTCAGAGATCCATAGGGAGGATATGTATTTGTTGATCAAATGTATGGCGATAACGAACAGTATTCAAGCTCAAAAGTCCAAAAAACAAAACAGATCAGGAGCAGAGCAAACATAGGTCTCTAAAAAAACCAGAGGCGGGATAACGTGCCATGGAAGACTGAAAACCCCCTGCCGACCGGTCACACCCGCTGTGTGCTCCTTGTCATGATTGGGGAATAACGGAGAAGTTCGTCATAAATCTACTTTTTTTTTTCAACACAAAGTCCAAAGAACCTAAGATTGATAGGTCGTCAGGGGAAGTTCACTCCTCCGTGATCCCAGCTCCCTTGTTTTGGAGCTCCGTACGTGTTTCCTCTTCTCTTTGTATAGTTAAATGGAACTTTTATCTTGAATACTGTTCGTTTTTTTTCCATACGTTTCATAAAACATTGTCAAATTTTGGAATATTTGTTAATTGTTTCACACTTTTGCACTTTACGCTACCTTTTTGTACTATACACGCACTTAATGGGGCTGACTTATTTAAAATCACGATATTTACTTTCAATTGAAGATTTGTTCTTTTAATAAGACTAGAATGATTCCTTTTTCAATACCAACTTCCAGTAAAACGCAGAAAAGACTATAAATTTAGAGTATTTGGAATAATTAGATTTATTCCCTTTTCATGGATCCCTTTCCAGTTTTTCTTTTATTTTATATCAAATGCCAAGCAAATTAATTAATACAAGTGCATCGTTCTCTTTTTTGATGTCATTGTGTCTAATATTAATGGTTCCTTTGATCTGGTAAGAGAACGGGTTTAAATGTTTATAGAGTTCAAAGCTCTACTTAACAAGATTTTATTTCAATTCAATCCTCGCATCTCGCCATGTCTGTTTACAGCTTTTAACATCAAGTTATCGACAAACATTTCTTTCTTTCGTTCTTTCTTTTGCTTCTGAATAAATTGCGAAGTTGGTTTGAAGTGATTATTTGGTGTGATGGAGTTCTGCAATTTATCTGCACTTCAAGATATGATGTATTGTTTCGCTTCCTGTCTCATATATATTCAATACCCAATTAGCTGTACATTGTGTATTATGGAATTTTATAGTTAAGCATACAATTCTGGAATAGTGCATTGCCTTCTTGTCTGTAAAAGA